CAAACCAGATAAAAGGGGAGGTAATGCATGGTCTAGATGTCAGATATGTCTATAAATGTGACGTCATAGCGCGGTAAGTTCATTCTCGGCTGCGACACCAGTACTGAACATATTGATTTGTGACACTTAATCAAGGTGCTGCAAGAAGAGATGATAATGAGAAACACTGCTGCAGTGTTGTCATACCTACCTTGTAGGTGGAGAAGATGTTACAGTAGCATCTGATGTCTACAGTGATAATATGCATACTTTTCCTTATAGGGTGCAAACGTAGAAACTGCCTTGCAGGAAGGTCAATCTGCTTGAAGGGTTGTTTGCGTGGAACAAGACGGTGGGGCGTAAATCATCACTGTGATGTGATGTACCTCGTACAGTTTTAATAAACGCCTCGGCAAGTGTCGCAGGGGACTTACACTGATGTTTGTTCTTTTATCTGGTTTGTGGTGGTGATAGAAGGAGCTACCCATGTTTGCCGTTAGAGGCGACTAACGGGATCATGTGGTCAGGTTCGCTGACTTGGTTGACACATGTCATCGTATCCGTGCTGCGTAGATCGATGCGCATGCTTTTGATCACTGGATTGTCTAGTCCAGACCCGATTATTTACAGACCGCCACTAGATAGCTGGAATAATGCTGAATGCGGCGTTAAACAACAACCCAACCAACCAACCAACCAACTGAGCGATAGCCTGAGAAAAACAGATCTTCAGCCATTCCTGGACAACGTCATGACCTTTGTCTGTGTCCGACAGTGAGGAAGTTTAAATTATATCGCCAGCCAGTATATGATCGAGTCTGGACCAGACAAGCCAGTCGTTGATATAATGCGCAATGGTACAGGCCGTCAGTGTGCGATGACAGATAACCGACCAATCATGGCCCACGGTTTTGCAACCCGATCATCTTTCTCTTACAGATACAGATCTCTACGGTTATACATCTTTCCTTGAATGGAAGAGGGAGAGAGTGAGTTTAGTTTTACATTTTAGCAATATTCCAGCAATATCACGCTGGGAACACCAGAAATGGGCTTCACCTACACTGTACACATGTGGGGAATCGAACCCGGGTCTTCAACGTGACGAAAGAACGCTTTAACCACTAGGCTACCCATCACCCCCTTCCTTACATGGTGTTAACACTTGTTAAGCAAATATACTGATTGTCTACCCACCATTTTGTTGGGAGTAGGTGATTATCGATTTTTCTATCTTATCGCTGTAGCCCAAGTAAGATAAGCAGTCTTCTGTCTGACCTTGACCTGCGCCAATTCGTCCTGTCTCGGAAATATGAATAGTATATCTTCAAGGACAGGGGCGTTTTCCTTCTAGGCACGAAAACTTACCTCAATATTCTATTTGCATTTCACCGTGACAAAATATGTGGGGACGTGTATGGTTATGTTTGAAACCTTGAATAAATAGTTCACTCAGCGGGAGTGTCAGTCAGGAGGTTCTTGAGGTCGGTGACATCGAACCATGGCTGCCATTGTTGTGACTGTGAGTGAGATATGGTATTCATGTATAGTGTAATAAAATACAGTTGCATGGTGTAATAAAGTAACCATTATAGTTAAGACACGAGTATATTTTGATCTTTTAGAGAAGCATCTCAGAAATCACACCAATGTTTCAACGAACCTGATGGGTAATTGAGGGTGACATCACACATGTGTGGACGAACCTATGCTACCACTCATCTATCTATCAGTGAGATACGCTATGCACAGTGTGACATCGTACCCATGTGTGGACAAACCTATGCTACCACTGATCTATCTATCAGTGAGATACGCTATGCACAGTGTGACATCGCACCCATGTGTGGACGAACCGAGGCTACCTATGATGTATTTATAGGTGAGATACGCTATGCACAGTGTGACATCGCAACCATATGTGGACGAACCTAGGCTACCACTGATGTATATGTGTGAGATACGCTATGCTCTTTTTTGACATCGCGCCCATGTGTGGACGAACTAAAACTACCACTTTTGTGTCTATGAGTGAGGTACGCTATGCTCATTTTTGACATCGCACCCATGTGTGGACAAATCTAGGCTACCACTGTCGTATTTATAAGTGAGATGCGCTATGCACATTTTTTACATCGCATCCATGTGTAGAAAACCCTAGGCTACCTGTGTTGTATCTATGTGTGAGATACGCTATTCTCATTTTTGACATAGCACCCATGTGTGGACGAACTAAAACTACCACTTTTGTGTCTATGAGTGAGGTACGCTATTCTCTTTTTTGACATCGCGCCAATGTGTGGACGAACTAAAACTACCACTTTTGTGTCTATGAGTGAGGTACGCTATGCTCATTTTTGACATCGCACCCATGTGTGGACAAATCTAGGCTACCACTGTCGTATTTATAAGTGAGATGCGCTATGCACATTTTTTACATCGCATCCATGTGTAGAAAACCCTAGGCTACCTGTGTTGTATCTATGTGTGGGATACGCTATTCTCATTTTTGACATAGCACCCATGTGTGGACGAACTAAAACTACCACTTTTGTGTCTATGAGTGAGGTACGCTATGCTCATTTTTGACATCGCACCCATGTGTGGACAAATCTAGGCTACCACTGTTGTATCAATGAGTGAGATACGCCCTGCACATTTTTGACATCGCACCCATGTGTGGACGAACCAAGGCTACCACTGTTGTGTCTGTGAGTGAGATACGCCCTGCACATTTTTGACATCGCACCCATGTGTGGACGAACCAAGGCTACCACTGTTGTGTGTATAAGTGAGATACACTATGCTCATTTTTGACATCGCTCCCATGTGTGGACAAATCTAGGCTACCACTGTTGTGTCTATGAGTGAGATACGCTATGCTCATTTTGACATCGCACCCATGTGTGGACGTACCTTGGTTGTATTGTTGCGTCTGTGAGTGAGATACGCTGCGCTCATTGTCACATCGCAGTATTGTTCACTTTAGGCAATTACACTGATACAATGAATATTAAGTTTAGGCTTCCCTATACCAATTGTACTTGGAATCTGTTCACGTGAGAGAAATGTGAATATGAGTATAACTATCACTTACTGGCCTAGATTCTCTTATCGTAATATTGTTAACTACACTTCTTCACTCAGTTATCTTTAGGTACAAATAACGCGGATTTCTATATGTTTTCATGTGTTAAAAACAGGTGTTATACTTATAAGGATAACCTATTTTAGCGCTATTTAAAGCAGAGGCATTACTCTGTCAGTCCAGTGACAATGAATGAACAGGCCATGTTCAACCTACTTGCGCTGATTTTCATTTCGGTGGTTTGTTTTGAAGGCAAGTGAATATTTTCAGCATTTTGACGTTCAGAAGCGTACATCAGTTATACATTGGGAGAATATAGAAACTACTTAGATCCTTCTATGCACATAGCCAACTCTTGTCAACAATGTTACATTTTCTACAATATTACAACCGACACGGTGACTGCCCATTCCTTGACCGCTGGTCACGGTGGCATTTCAGGCCAAACTGTGTGTACAGCTACCACAACATGGATGAAACCAACGCAGTTTACTTGTCCATCAAAGTTGCCCATTGTCCGCTATTTCTGCTGGGTTAAAGCATTGAATTTGTACATGTGTGTTTTACTGCTATAAGGTGAGTGAGTGAGTTTAGTTTTACGCCGCACTCAGCAATATTCCAGCTATATGGCGGCGGTCTGTAAATAATCGAGTCTGGACCAGACAATCCAGTGATCAACAGCATGAGCATCGATCTGCGCAATTGGGAACCGATGACATTTGTCAACCAAGTCAGCGAAACTGACCACCCGATCCCGTTAGTCGCCTCTTACGACAAGATAGTCGCCTTGTTATGGCAAGCACATGGGTTGCTGAAGACCAATTCTACCCCGGATCTTCACGGGTCACTGCTATAAGGAGTTTAATATCATGCAAAAATCTTTCAATTGGATTTGCATCATGGCAGCTTGGTAACATCTTCTTTCTGTAAGGTAAGTAAACTACATGTAAGGTCAATGTTATCATCAATGTCATTCTAAAAAGATGTGACAATTGTATAACAGTTGTTTGTCAGTAAGACTTCAACGTATTGTACGTTATTCGTTTGCCCTTTTACTTTGTATTGAACACAGGGACGCAGGTTGTTGTTTATGTGCTTGACTGCCATTTGAAATGATTTTGAAATACACTAATGCTGAATGTCATATTTTGTGTAGGGATAACACTGAAAAACGTTTTATGGTCGCAGCAGGATGCTTTATGTCGATGATACTTAGTAACATGTCATATTTAAGCCGTAGCTCTTGTCATAAATACACTTCTTGTAACGTTAAGAAATGTACTCCAAATGAGATTCGTGAAGCATGATGAGATAATCTGCTATTATCGTTGATTGATTTAAACATATTTTATTCACAAATGTGAAAGGGATTGGGGACAAGTTATCCAACTTAAAATACCCGCTCTCTAATATATACATACATACAATTTCAATTATATACAACGTTTGGAAGTGTAAGATAGGTGTTTTGAACGATCATTATTCAGTGGGAGTCGACTTGGACAAATGTATTCGTTGACATTACTGAATCTTTTAAGTTCAAAATGTAATAATTATGGAAAATGTTCATATATTAGTGGACATTTTTGGGCATAATCTTAAATATTGATATTGTTTTGGCTATGCTTTTGAACCTTTGGCTCTGAATTTCTGAGTTAACCACAATGAACAAGCTCAACTTTCCATTAATGTTTGCTCTTTTCATGATACGGATAGACATGTTTGATATTGGGTTTTCAGCATTTTAGCAGAAAATATTTGAATATCAATGTCCTTTTTCAAGTCGCTATCTTATTATTCTACTGACTACACATCCAGCTGAGCTACAGTGCCAGAACACTATATATATCTGATGATCCATATTATTTTATGTGTCATTTCATCATCAGTGGAAGCAGCTTCGTTCAGCTTCTCGAAAACCTGTGCTAATCATATGGTATTGCAACAAGCACCCAAGAAGGCTACCATATGGGGGTTTGCATCACATGTGGGGGAAACTGTCACAGTCCAGATTTCTGGGAAGGGATCGGTGACCACGACAACAAGACACGGAGATAACGGTGCTGTTGTATGGTATGCGCAGCTTCCGCCAGTCAGCGCCGGTGGACCTTACACCATCACAGCTACATCCAGGGAAGGGAAGCTAACTCTGTCCGATGTCCTGTTTGGTGACGTGTGGGTGTGTTCTGGACAGAGCAATATGCAATTCACGATGAGCATGGTGAGTTTTGTGAGGACAATGTATACCGTCAGATCTTTTTGTTGTTGCTTTGGTTTTATGTTTGCAAGGATAGTCCTTCCTTAAAGGCGTACGTCCTTTTTATACCTAAATTAATGGGCAGGATTTGTCGTGTATGCGTATAAGGCCGAACGCAACAGTATTCACTTGGGGCCATCAGTGCTTTATGGTGGACTATTCATAAGGTTCCACGGTTATTTTGCCCTTTACACAAAATGGAATCTGTAATGTAAAAGAACGGAAACTCACTGGATTCTGGGTGGAAACTTAAGTTTCAGTCCACTTTCCACCAGGTTTCCGCATTGCGGAAACCAAGTTATTTTTGCTGTGTGTTTCTGGGGATAGTCATGACTGTGTATTGTTATGCTCTGACAATATATATATTGTGTTGGTAATCTTTCAATGCGCTGGTTTACTGGGCATGTTATATTTGTAGGATTTCAATGCAACTGCTGAAATCAACGACGCTGACCATTACCCCCACATCCGTCTGATGACAGTACCACATCATACATCTCTTAAACCGGTCACTGACTTTAATGGATGGTTTCAAAGCTGGTCAGTCGCTTCTCGGCGTAAGTAGAAATTGGAACATATTTTGTGTTGGCAAGTGATGGAAATCGTCTAGAGATACCTGTGGATAACATCGAACATTGGACATTAGCCATCGAACATCGAACATCCAAAAACTTCCTTCATTGTGGACTGCACTATATTCGTCAATAGTTTCATGAACTTCTCGAACTTCTAATCAGGTTTAAAATGAAGGAAATTAATGAAACAGTAATATTCAGCTTCCTACTTTGTTGAATACATGCCTCAATGGTTTGGTGTTTGCATATCGAAAGCAATATCTAAAGTGATACTGAAATCTACGCTCTTTAACCGAATTCCCAACAGTAAAAGTGTCCAGAAAAAGTACCAATGGCAAGCTCATAACAATGTAAAATATTAAACTTAAAACCATCATATATTGTAAAACGTATGACGTTATGAAGTCAGATCTCCTCAGTGTGGTAAATATATATGGCCACAATTTATTGACACTGTCATTTAGCGTTTGAAGTCATACACGCATGGATCACTTGTCAATAGCTTCATTCAAAGAATATTTTGTGAAAGAAAGTGTTTGGCACCTTGCAATCATACAAGGCGCGTCCAATATTTGTACTAGAGATTTTATCATTGAAATGAAAACAAAAAGACATTTCAAACATTTACAAGACATTATCAACACTAAATCCAATACATGTAAAATGTCATTATAACATTCAAAGATTCGTTCGCGACATATTACAGTGTGTTTAGGCTTTTGCAAATGTAAAATCCTGGAATTAAATGTGTAGGTAGCTTGAGCAATGCATTACGATTGCAAAAGCGTTGTTATTATGGTAGCAAGATTCATGGGCATTTATTTCCAGGTGTACCGCACACGATATCATTAGGGCTGATGGAATGATGTCGATAACGTCACCTGTCACCTGTGATGATAAATGTTAGGATGTTAAGAAAGTTGGGGTTGGGGGTGGCATTTAGTCGGGGGTGAATTTGCTTCCGTTTTTAACTTTATTTTATCCTTTTTGGAGTTGAAATTTTGTCTTCTTTCACATTGTTGATTTTGTTCAGATTCGGTGGGAGGCACGGATTGGGTACATTTCTCCGCGCTGTGTTGGCTCTATGGGAAGAATCTCTACAAAACATTGAAGTACCCCATTGGATTGATCGCAACAGCAGACGGAGGAACTATCGATGAAGCTTGGTCGTCTCCAGACGCCCTGTCCAAATGCGTCAGCAAAAATCAGATACCAAAGTGAGCATGAAAACGTTTTGGGGATTTTTGTCGAACTGTTTTCAAATGCTTTTTTAGTCAAGGGTCCCGTTTCACAAAGCTCTCGTAAACCCAGGATCTCGTAACATTTCTCGTAGCAATCGTACCTCCTATATTGTAGACTTACGACAGTCGTAGCGTTACGATAGCTTTGAGAAACCTGGTGCCGATGGGTGATAGCGATGAGGTGGCTAACTCGAAAAGTGTCGGTTTGAATCCAGGATGGGATCCAGCCACAAAAAGTACTAGATTTCTTCTTTCCTAAATAAGTGTGATCCGCTAGACATAATATTCAATCACTAATTGTGGAAATGACTGCCTCAGTGTCCAATGTAGTGTTTAACGTGAGTTAGTGCTTGTTAATTTCCAGGCCCACGTACAAGAGCAATGGTGACGTGGACCACAACACGTATTCCAGTCTTTGGAATTCAATGGTGCATCCTCTTTTGCATACAACTATATATGGCGTCATCTGGTATCAAGGTTAGACATTGAATGGTGATAACCATTATCCAACCTAATAAGCATGTAAATGGTTTGTTTTGCCCAAAGAGATTAATTTCAGCCAGGCCTTCCTCATATTGATTGGGTAGAGGGGATATAAATACAATACACACAAAACAACGAAATAATACTAATATTTAATGATAAAAAACAAATAAAGGAATTAATAATAGTTGTTATTATTTATGTGTACTCAGAGGCAAACGTTATTGTGACATGGAATTTTCTAATTGGTAATCTTGTGAATGAATGTTGAGTATACACAGAATTTACACTGAAATGAATATATTGATATAACGAAACAGATTTCTCCAAAATATTACAATTACGTTATTCAAAGTGGCATGCTAAAAATCAGACATATTAGTTGGATATCTCGTGGTTTAATATATTAACAGAACAAAACCAAATTCTCTCGTTACACAATTCAATGTTTCACAGGTGAATCAAACCAGCAAAACGGACTCGACAGATACAGCTGTACATTCCCGGCTCTGATAGATGACTGGAGAAAAAAGTTTTCAGAAGCTACAAACGGCCAAACATCCAATATGTTTCCCTTTGGATTTGTCCAGGTAGGCACAATACATATGTTAAATGCAATGTCTGAAATATAAGTATATTAACAGAAATATCACATTCCCTTTACGAGGTGGACAGGTAGACATTCGATTAAAAATGCCACAATTAAACAATGGTATGCTGGTCGTTGGTTCCAAACCTCGCTTCTCCCAATCAGAGGTTCTTAATCTATCAGCAACACGCCAATCAAGATCTTTCGGGCAGACAGACAGACAGATTGTTTATTATAGTCTCACCTCGTTAAAGTCAGTTTGATAAAAACGAACATACATAATATATACATGTCATTGATATAAACTATGCATAACTTAAGACAATTTAAGCGTAAAAGTAACGAGCCACCCTGTACAGAGCTATGACAGACTTTAAAATACATTATCTATAAAAACATTCAAATCTTAAGAACTGCAGTCACTCTATAACATATACTTTGATAAGATATTAAATATAAGTTTTAAAAGAAATCAATGAAATAAAATGTTATGATGCTTACGGAGAGTATTATGACATGTTTTGGCACTCTGGGCTATAACATTAGGACATGAGAGCATAAAACCGCCTTTCCGAATATCATCTAAGCTATTAAAGTCCTCATTTATCACAAAACAACATGACAGTAGATTACGTCTTTTCCCTTTATACACTTGGAAGATATGGCCTAAATTGCACCTAAATATGATATAAATATGTATGATGATCGATGGGGCTTAGGTATGTTGTCTCCATGTTATTGGGTTCTTTTTTAAATAACTTTTTTCAACATAAGCAGGGTATATTTCACGCATGAGTGTCCGCTTTTCTCACTTGTATGCATCACTTTTACCGACAGACAGCTATATAGATAAAACATGTGTTTGTACATTTCAACACATTATGATTGCATTGTCTCGTAAAATATCTATTTGAACATTCCAGTACATTATGAATGCATTGTTTGTAAACTTGTACATATATATGAGTCCAAACACATTGACTGTATCTCTCCAGTTAGCACCGTTCCGAAACTGGAATGCCAATTCTGGATGGGCCATTGTGAGGTGGCACCAGACCGCTGACTATGGCTATGTCCCTAACGACAGGATGAAAAACACCTTCATGGCGGTGGCCATGGACCTGCCTGATTACAATTCACCACATGGAAGGTAAATTGTCATCTCAAGAAAATAGCCAATAATAGTTATCTGATAAAAGTCGTCTTTTGAGTGAGTGAGTATGGTTGTACGCCGCATTTAGCAATTTTCTAGCAATATCTTCGAGGGGGACACCAGAAATGGGCTTCACGCATTGTACCCATTTGGGGTATCGAACCCGGGTCTTCGGCGTGGCGAGCCAACACTTTAACCACTAGGCTACCCCACCGCTCCAGTCGTCTTTTACTTTGTTCCTTAACAGCATGACATTGTGCTAATGATTTATCTGTGCAAAATATCAAAGACACAAACACTTCAGTTCAGGATTATAGCGTGTTTTCCATATACAGATTTTCATCTTTAAGCACATATTCCATTGCATTTTTCACATGATACTTAGGGATATTAAGTTGGAGTCGCATGGTGTGTTTGCAGCATCCATCCCAGAAATAAGCACGACATCGCACAGAGACTGTACATCGAGGCCATGATTGTGGCTTACAAGAGGACGGACATGCTAAACCAACGAGGACCATTCCCTACTGGGTTCACAGAAGTGGTGAATCAGAAGACTGTACAGATTTCATATGCTAACACAAAGACATCCATCGAGAAGAGAAATAATAATGGCTTTGAGGTACGTCAATGTTGCACTTGGAGAGTGATCTGACGTATTTCAGCGATAATACAAACAGAAAAGATTATGAATTGATTTATAAAGACATTTACTGGTCTTTGTGATTTCGGGAAGATACCTGCAAAAATGTGTTTATTTTGGCTATATTTTATTTTGTGCAGGTGTGTTGTGTCCCGAGGAGGGATATCACAGATACCCGCAAGTTCTGTCCAATGACCTACCCTTCTAACCTGTGGAAGGCTGTTCCAATCACGGCTTCAGACTCAACGTCTGTAACAATCAACTACCACAATGCTTGCACCTCAAGCAACCCCTACCTTGGCGGTATCCGTTATGAGTGGCGGGAATCCCCCTGTGATATGAAGAAGTGTGCTGTGTACAACAAACTGAGCGGAAGTCCTGCTCCACCCTTCATACACTTTGTCACCCTTTAGATGGATCTAGGACCTCAGCTGTATTGATATGTAATGTGAATATGTTATTCAAGGATATTTATGAATATAGATATTTTACTGTGTTGTTTTCGAGAGTGAACACATTGAATGAGCTTCATCGTTGAGACATCACAAAAATAATATCACTTAACTGTTTAACAGACAGACAGACAGATATTGTATGTCCTGTCTTAATTGTTTAATTACAATATAGAAGAGAGAACGTTGGCCACAAGAACGCAATGAAATTGCTGAAGCTTTGCTTTCAGCTGTTCTTTGTTTGTTGTTTAACGCAGCACTCAGCAATATTCCAGCTGTATGGAATCAGTCTTAATAATCATGTCTGGGCCAGGCCATACAATGACCGACAGCGTAAGCATGGATCTACGCAATTGGTATACGATTATATGCGTCAACCAAGTCAGCGAGGCTGACCATCCAACTTTAGTCAGCTCTTACGACAAGCATCTGCTGCTGAAGACCAGGGCCCTTATTCTCGAAACGTTCGTAGCCCTAAGAATTCTTAACTTTGATCGTAGCCAATGTGTTAAGAATGGGCTTAAGAAGTTCGTAGGGCTACGAACGTTCCGAGAATAGCTAGCCAGTTCTTACTCGGATCTTCACAGGTAGTTGCAACTGTCAAAGGAGATCCATTTCTATCTGGACATACTAACAACTTCATTGGTTTAACCTTTCGTGAAGTTACATCGTTATTATAAAATCTGACTTTCTGTGATTTCCAAATACAACATATTCGTGTTTTATTTGGTGAACCTATTCAGTTGTTTCTAGCAGTTTCTAAACAGGAAAACAGTTCATCTCAAATGTCATTTCAAAAACGAAGGTCAACATATTTAAGTAATACATACATGGATGAAACTCTGATGACTAATGTTTCAAAACATTTCAACAGACAAACGCCAATGGGAAATATATAAGCATGGGTATACATTATCAAGTATTACCAGTCACACATACAATTGTATACTGCAAAAAAGAACTGAAATTCTGCCTATTTTGATTTAAAGCAGAAACACTCTGCGTTCCAAAAATTCTGGTCCGACAGGACAACCTCATATCCTCAGTGTCACAGTTAAAATAAAATGTCGCGATTACCTATAATTAATATAAGGACATACTCTGAGATATCCATCCAGGGTGTGGTCGGGGTCGGATGGTCTACCGAAGTTTATGTATGTTTGTTTGTTGCCGCACCCAGCAATATTCCAGCTATATGCTGGCGGTCTGTAAATATTTAAGTCTGGACCAGACAATCCAGTGATCAACATGGATACGATGACAGTTAGTCACCTTTGACGACAAGCATGGGTTACTGATTCTAAACCGGACCTTCAAGGGATTCTAAGAGGCGACTACATGGTGACTTTCAACAATGGCATATCACCATGTCCCCTTTACAGAGATTATTTGCGTTGAACGCGGCTTTAAGCAACAAGCCTTCAAACAGGTTAACGCTTTGGAGCTGATGCATCAGACAGTCACTCAAATGATAAATACACCACAAAACACTCATCACTGGGATGACTCCATCGTGCCTGTCTTATGAAGTAATAGAATTTTAGAATTTGGATCTGTTGAGAACCTTGCATTTCACATCGCACGTAGGGTGTATTATATATTAGACTCAATAATCGAAGCAAATGATAACAAAATAGTTCATTGTATCATATGCTCTTGACTGTAACATGTGGCAACGACGCAAGCAAATCTGCAAACAGTGGTTTGGACATAACTTCCACATGATAGAGTGCATACGTATATACGTACCTACTCTCTCTCCCTCTCCCTCCCTCTCTCTCTCTCTCTCTCTCTCTCCGTCTCTCACATCCACACACACGCGCGCGTACTTAGAACGTACGTAGGTGGTGGCAAATCTGGTATGTCAATTCCGCATTTGATATTGATACATTTTCAGTGTCAGGAAGCCTCAAAATGTTTGTGAAATGTGAAAAATATACAGGTTACATTTGGCGGTATTTAATGCATTTACGGTGCCGCCAACGCAATCCTGGCTGATACAACCGTGGAACCTGAAGACATCATGCCTTCATCATGGTATCTAGAGATATATTTCATAATACTTTCTTGTGTTAACATTTGAAGTTTTCTTACTGTGAAAGATTAATAGGCACTTCATCTTGAAAAACGTCCTAGCTAGTCATTGAAGAGCAATTGCTGCCCACTTTCGTCGCCAGTGTAGGCATCCCCATGGGTACAAATTGTGCTCCCCTGCTTGCGGATCTGTTTGTGCGGATATGAATCAAAATGTTTGCTTGGGTTGGCAAAACAAGGTAATTTGACCAAGAACAGGTATATCGATGATCAAATATCGGTTAATAGCCATACAGCTCCTATTGTAATTACTATTGCATTTCTTTTACCTTCATGTAGCCCTAATTCCTGCCTTTGTTTACCCTATTACATCTCCTCAAAAAAGCAAGGTCTTTAAAGCTCACACTATCAATGCGCGGATCTGTTTATTGGCATTTAGAAGTTGGTGACTAATAAGAAAGGAAGATTCTATAATAAAAGAAGTTGTTATCCATAAAGAATCTTCCTTTCTTACTATCAATGCAAATAGCAGTTTTGCCTACTACCTCGTCAGTTAGGGGGTATTTGTTTTTGCCTGTTATTTTTATTCTTTATCCAGCTATGATGTTTGACCATATCAACATCTAATCTGACTAACAAATATAATGACCTAATTCCATCTGAATGTGATATGGTCACCACATCTGTCATCTACAAAGATTACTTTTGCCCCTTACTTTGATGGTGATTCTACATGTATGTGGTGGAATGTAACGAGCAGCTAGCATGAAGTATTCCTTGGACATATTAGGATTTGTTACCAAAACATAATGTTTATATTAATGGCATTGTTTTCAAATAATATTCAATTTCGTACCAATATTTCATTGTTTTAATACACACTTGCAAAGTTACACCTCTAATACTTGTAATAATCCATCACCAGAACTTCTAACATCTGTCCCTATGATTGGCTGAATACCAAGATGATCGAGAACAGACAAGGAGAAAATCAAGCCATGGACAAGGAGGGACGAACACTGACCAGTCAAACCAAAACATCTGCATGGCAGTGTCTGTCAGACTTTGTTTAAACTGTTCCCCCTACCTCATACACCTAGTTATACAGGTTCTTAAAGAGTGCCAGGATGGTACATATACTGAACCGCAAACGAAACACAGTACCGATTGAGGTTTCTTAAAGTACGCACTTTAATTCGCTCAAATTAGCAATCAATACGGAGGATTGAATTCAAACTTGGCGTTGCGTCATCTAAACATGGAATTAATTAGCCGGTTGATAAAGGCCATAGGCTCTTGGGTCCATACTCCACGAGTCCAGCCGCAGTTTGTCTTTGGTTGGAGGTTATTCAGTCTTCTTTGAATTCGCTCCTAAGGTGTTCTATTGGACTTAAATCCGGACTGAGTTCAGGCCATTGTGCTGTTTGGATGCCGTGTTGTCTTAGGAAGTTCAATTTATGTTGCTCTTGGCAGTGTGGCCACGAGAGCTGTCTTGCTGGAAGATGTGATTTCTGTGACGTCCAAAATGCGGTACAACGTGGGGACTTATGACTTGGTCAATATAGCGAGCAGCTGTCACGCCGGCCATTTCCTCGTCCTGGACTGAGATTCTGGAACACCACTGGGCCAATTCTCTGGTTCAGACCGATTGCACCCCATGATGCTGAACCACCCCACGAATCTTTTTCAACAAAACACTCATTGGAAAAACATTCCCAACGCCTTCGCCATACTCACACACTGCCATCTGCGGGCGAAACAAAATATCAGCTTACATCAGAAAAAACACAGTCCTCCATTGTCGATAACGCCAATTTCGATGCTGTGCTGAGCTGCCCATTGCAGTCGTTCTGGGCGGTGACGAGCGGTGAGAACAGGTCCACGATGTAGTCTGTGACAGCAGAGTTTTTTCAGTGCAAACGTCGACGCACTGTATCGGCACTAATGGGTTTGTTTTGAGTCCCAATGGTCTGGCGCGCCGTTTCCGTTGCTCTGATGAAGCGATCCTGCAAATGATTGGGCACAATCTGTCGGTCTTGACGTTGTGATGTTTCTGAAGACCGTCCACTGGTTGGATGGTCTTTGATGCTGTTAGTGGCCTGATACTGCTCCTGCAGTCGGTTCCTAACATGGACATTAAAATGATTGGAGACCCTCCTGCAGTCTGACCAGCTTGCAATCTTCCAAAGGCTTGGTTCCTCTGATCTCTCGTAAGTCGTGGCAAAGCCATTGTGTCAAAACAGGAATGATTTAAAGCGAGTTTAAGACTCGCTCTCATTGGTAGGAGTGTCTTGATATTTCATTGCTTTTTCATTTTCACGAATGTCATACGGAACCTTTACCACGCCTACCTTTTTAGGTGCGTTTGGCCGATATGCTTTGCCATCAGAAAACAAACTGATGTTGGTAATAACTGTCAATTTGGACTTAAAAACATGTTAACAAAACGGTACAATCATAATAAAAACACCTCCTTAAAAGAACAAACTGTTGCTTTTGGTTTTGAAAGGTTTCGTTTCTGTTGCGGTTCAGTATAAGATACGCCTTGCACAGTGTCACGTAGCAGCCATGTGTGGTCGAACCGATGCTACCTGTGTTGTATCTATGAGTGAGATACGCTACGCTCATTTTGGACATCGCACCCATGTGTGGAGAAACCCAGGCTACGGTACCTGTGTTGTATCTATGAGTGAGATACGCTACGCTCATTTTGGACATCGCACCTGTGTGTGGAGAAACCTAGGCTACCTGTGTTGTATCTGTTAGTGAGATACGCTATGCTGCCAATGCTGTGTCTGTGAGACAGATTCGAAATACACCGTGCGGCATTGCACCTATATGCGGACCAACCTGGGCTACCACTGTTGCATCCTTGAATGAGATACCAAATGCTCAGTATGACATCACACCATGTCTGGACAAACCCAGGCTCTGCGTGTCTCTGTGTCTGTGTGTGTCTGTCTGTGTGCGTCTGTGTGTGTGTGTGTGTCTCTCTCTCTCTCTCTCTCTCTGTGTGTGTGTGTGTGTGTGTGTGTGTGTGTGATACGCTGTTTATAATGTCACATCGCACTAATGTTCACTTTGGGCAATTAAACTAATATAATGAATGATAATTTGTAGCGTTCGTATACCTTTTCAAGTAGATTCTGACATTGAATTGTATTTGGGATCTGTTCACGTGAACGTAATATGAGTAAGAGTATACATATTGACCTGAATTCCCTTATCGTAATACTGTCTTTAAACTAGATTTAAGCAGGCTTTTACGTGAAAACAGCTGTTGTGCGTATAAGCATAACCTATTTTTTATCTATTTAAAGCAGAGACATTACTCTGTCAGCCCAGTGACAATGAATGAACCCGTCATGATCAACCTACTTGCGCTGGTTTTCATCTTGGTGGTTAGTTCTGAAGGCAAGTTGAATCTTAAGATGTTCATAACATACATCAGGAATACATTGGGAGAATATGGAAACTGTTTAGAACTGTCATGATCAACCTACTTGCGCTGGTTGCATCTTGGTGGTTAGTTCTGAAGGCAAGTTGAAGCTTAAGATGTTAACAACATACATCAGGAATACATTGGGAGAATATGGAAACTGTTTAGAACTTTCTATGGACATCGTCTTTTAACTCTTGTTATCCGTGTTATATCATCAACAATATTACAAACTAGGGATGCCACAATACATCAATACATCAATGCATCGATACTTTTTCCTAGACGATACAATTATTCAAAACTGTATCGATATTTAGTTTTGAAAGTATCGGTTTAAATATGTTTACGTATCATTTACATTTTGCAATTGTATCATGTTTTTTTATGTTATAAGAGTTATAAATGAATATGTTTCATGCACAAAATGGGAAATTAGAACTTTTAATCTCTGAGAATAAAAAATGTACAATGGACAATTATAAAAAATGAAATATCAATATTCAAAATGTAACTAAATTTACGCAATATTACCGCGAAAATAGGTATCGTGATACGTTTCGAATCGTGACATGGGTATCGTGATTAGTATAGATTCATGAAACTTATGTATCGTGACATCCCTATTACAAACGATACATTGACTGACTGTCCATTCCTTGCCTAATCAGTGAAGGTAATCAGGATGGCATTTCAGGCCAAACTGTGTGTACAGCTACATGTACAGCAAGATGGATGAAACCAACGCAGTTTACTTGTTGTCCTGTTTACCATTTTCCACATAAAGGATTCACCTGAAATTGTACATTGGTCATTCACTGCTGTAAGGCTTATAATTCATGCAAAGTATTAAATTTGGATTTGAACTATGGCAGCTTAAAGGTATCATCTTTTTGTAAGGTAAGTGACCTAAGAGGAAGGTCAAGATCACTGTGGAGGTAATTTAAAAGGTATGTGGCAATTTTATAACAGTGATGCTCAGTGCGATCTCAACGGGTATCTTATTCTATTCGTTTACGTCGAATTGAACGAAGGAACATAAGTTTGTATTTATGTGCTGGATAGACATTTGAAATGTTCTTGAAATACACTTGTACTTGTTCTCTCTCGGGAAAATACTCGAAAACGTTTTATGGTCGCAACAGGATGCTTTATGTCCATGATACCTAGTAACACGTCAAATTTAAGACGTGGCTCTTGTAGGAAAGACCGTAAGTCATCTTGGTTTTAAGGTTAAGAAATGTACTCCAAAAGTGTTCCTTGCAGCAGGATGAAATTATTTACTATAATGGTTAAGTGTTAGGTAGGTGTTTTGAACAAACATTATTTAATTTCACGTTATTGGAATGCTCATTCTTTTGGTAGTTCTCCTTTTTGTGTACTGAGGCTACCAGTCCCTGTTTTTGTTTGACAAAGATTATAATACTCTAATCTTGCTTGTAAGATAAGAGCTTGTGCCATGAACATGAACGGAACAAGCAGGCGGTTGTCTGGAATTCACGCTCAAGGCTTTAAAAACCGGAAGAACATCTACATTTCTTATTAATGTCGTTAGGTAATGACAGGTGGCAGTTTCTGTTTTGAACTATAAATGTTATTTGTCGCTTTCTCCTTATCCTACTGTTTACTACATATCCGGATGAGCTACAGTGCCGGAACACTAGATTTTATTATCCATGATATTTCATATTTCATTTCATCATCAGTGGAAGCGGGTTCGTTCAGCTTCTCGAAGTCCTATGCTAATCATATGGTACTGCAACAAGCACCCAAGAAGGCCACCATATGGGGGTTTGCATCACATGTGGGGGAAACAGTGACGGTCCAGATATCTGGGAAGGGATCGGTGACAACGACAACAAGACACGGAGATAACGGTGCTGTTGTATGGTATGCGCAGCTTCCGCCAGTCAGCGCCGGTGGACCATACACCATCACAGCTACATCCAGGGAAGGGAAGCTAACTCTGTCCGATGTCCTTTTTGGTGACGTGTGGGTGTGTTCTGGACAGAGCAATATGGGATTCACCATGAGCATGGTGAGTTTTACGTGAGTTATACCATCAGGTCTCTTTGTTGTTGTTGTTTTGCATGAATAATCTTTCCTCGAGGGCTTTCTCATACCTAAAGGACAGGACGAACTCAACGGTATTCAGACTCCTGACAAAAATACAATTTGTCCAGTTGCAAAACAAAGCTCACAGTCAAAGTATCATGATATTGTATATAAAAGTGAAACAATATAATATATATACAGCGACTCTAAAATATTCAGAAGTATGTAAATTGTTTATGTTGCTCACAGATATGTCATTTAGAACTTAACGTTTTCACAGACTCTTCCTTTCTCTAATGTCAAAACAAATGAGACTGTTTGCATACATGTGCAGCCATCTTGCACCCACTGGGTAACATACCTACTATATTTATACAGAATTCTAAGCAGACCGATGTAAACCAGGTTTTTTTGTGTGTTGTGCGGATTTCGAAAATCCGCGGCTGAACATATCAGGTTATCAGAGCTCGTTCTTCAATACATATTTTTTATACACTGAATTTCCTGGTCCTGGTTTTCATGTCCTGAATATAGTAATAAATACTGATGTATGAAAGGTATAGTACTTTCTGTGAAAGTTGTCCTGCATTAGACATGCGCTTTCACGAGATGGAGCAACATGTTCCTCATATAATAATGGTGCTAGATTCAAAACGTCAACATCAGAGGAAAGTCCCAACAGTCATTAACCATAAGTGGATATTCTGTACCTAAGGCATGTATTTCAAAGAAAGTTATTTCCAAGAGCGCACGGAGCAATGAACGTTCCTTGAAGCCAAGACGCCAAGTAAGACTTGTTTTAATGCTTATGCCATGCAGTTAAAGCATCTTCGCCGGAATTTGTTAAGGTTACCACGACCAGAAATGCTGTAATTGGTGTCGTTAGTATCTATGAACGTAACTTTAGGTTCCTCATTTTGCCGACTGTATGCAAATTGTGTGTCTAGTGTGTGTCTGAATCATACAGGGAGTGCAAGATGGATCTGGTTACTTCTGGGAACAGATAGCAATGTAGATGCTTCTGTTTCTGGATGTACCTGTAGATGCATTTCTAATGTCTGGAACGTACCTCATGGATTGGATTGTTGAATGAGATCCAACCTCTATGGAGTCCAACATTGCCATGGGAACGTTCACTTGGTTGTCTGTTCGAGACTCAGTTACTTACATAATTTGGGCATTTAGCTAATATAATGTCTGGTGCCACAGTAACAACACATAAAAATCAATGCTTTACTGCGGGCCAATCCTAAAGTGTTCACAGCTATTTTGCCCCAAACAACAAATGGAACCTGTTTCTGAGGATAGTCAAGGCAGTGTACTGTTATGCTCTGTCGATATACATATTGTATTGGTAGTCTTTGAATGCGCTGGTGAATTGTGCATGTTATATTTGCAGGCTTTCAATGCAACTGCTGAAATCAACGACGCTGACAATTATCCCCACATCCGTCTGATGACAGTATTACATCATACATCTCTTAAACCAGAAACTGACTTTCATGGATTGTTCCAAAGCTGGTCTATTGCTTCTCGGCGTAAGTAGAAATTGGAACATGCTTTGTGTTGGCAAGTGATGGAAGTCGTCTACATGCAGCTGAGATGGTATATATGTATGGCACAAAGCAAACGGGCAGGTATGTTAAGGTACAATATCATCAGGGGTCATGATGAAATCAACTGTCACCTGGTTATGTCTTTTTTTTTGCTTGTTTTGTTTGGGTTGACGTAGAAAAGGTTCACGATAAATGTATATGTTAAGAAAGTGGAGGGGAGAGGGGTGGGGGGGGAACGAGTCGGGAATAGATTGGCTTTCGATTTTAATTTTAGTTACTCTTACTTTTGTTTTTGGGTTGTAGATTGTTTTGGGTAATATACAAACACTTTTCCAATTTCAACTTTCATTCACTTGCTGACATATTGCTGACTTTGTTCAGATTCGGTGGGAGGCACGGACTGGGTACATTTCTCCGCGCTGTGTTGGCTCTATGGGAAGCATCTCTACAAAACTTTGAAGTACCCCATTGGACTGATCGCAACAGCAGACGGAGGGACTATGGATGAAGCATGGTCGTCTCCAGACGCCCTGTCCAAATGCGTCAGCAAAAATCAAATACCAAAGTCAGCATGAAAACGTTTTGGTTTTGGTGTGGTTGTTTTACATAGATTAGTTGACAAAGCTTAATTAACAAAAAAACCTAGTAAGACATTATGTCAAATATACATAACTATTTTGGTGCTCGACACATTGCTAAAGTGATACACAGAAGCAATGTTTTCGCTGGTATTGTATTTGATGCAGCCTAGCGTTTCTGAGAGTGGTTTAAGACTACAAACATTTTGATAATGTTTGTAATAATTTGGTTAAATCCTGTTTTCAAGTGCTTTCTTAGTCTATGAGTTGTGTGATGACGATGAGGTGGCTACCTCAGAGAGTGTCACGGATGATCCAAAAAGTAATTGGATGTCTGCTTTACTAAGTAAGTGTGATCCAAAATATCATTATTGATAGATATAATATTCACTTACTGTTTTGGAAATGGCTGCCTGTATGTCCAGCTTATTTTAAGATTTGTGTCATCGCGACGCTGATTCATTTCCCGAGCCCATTGATGGCGATGAGGGGTGTGATCGAACCCTGGTGTGACTCAACCATAGTACTGGCATTTCTACTTTTTGTGTGTGTGATCCTAAATATTAACATTGTTAGATATACTATTTCTCCCCTGATTCTGGCTTGTGTCATCGTGATGCTGATTCATTTCCCAGGCCCAAGTACAAGAGCAATGGTGACGTGGATCACGACACGTATTCCAGTCTTTGGAATTCAATGATTCATCCTCTTTTGCATACAACTATATATGGCGTCATCTGGTACCAAGGTCAGACTTTGATAGCGCTAACCATTATCCAAAAGCGTAAACGAATAAGCATATAAATTGCAAACGTTTTTGTTACATGAAACTGTTTTATTGGTAATATTGTGAATAAATGTTGAGTATACATAGAGAGAACTGAAATGAATATAGGAGTATAATCAAATAGATTTCCCATTGTATTTCATTTACGTTTTTCAAAGGAATGTTTAAAAGCCATATGCAGATTCTCGGTCAGCATAACTCAACAGACATGTAACATCAGTTATCTGGTGGTGTACTTATGTTGACAAAACCAAATTCTCTCACGACACAATTTTGACATTTCAAAGGTGAATCAAACAGCAACCCTGAAGACGGACTCGACAGATACAGTTGTACATTCCCGGCTCTGATAGATGACTGGAGAAAAACGTTTTCAGAGGCTACGAACGGCCAGACGTCCAATATGTTTCCCTTTGGATTTGTCCAGGTAGACAAAACATTTATTTAAGATGTATATACATGTAATTACTTTTCAACCAGAATGCTATCCTTGCCATAATACATCCTGTTCTTCGAATGTGACCCTATACTACAGCGAGGTAAGGCATTCCTTTATCTCATAACTATCACAATTAGTCTGGTTTCATGCCTGTAGCCTACAAGCGGCAGATCAAAACAGTTCGCGTAGCAGAGCACAACTGTGCACTTGAGCATTGCCATGTTGTAAAAGGCAAAGAGTTTATCAAATGACTTCTGACACTCGTCACACAACCCAACTCTCTCGTACCCTGCAAAAAATATAAATGTGTGTGATGATCGAATATCTTCTTCAACATTTCAGTTTTCGGGTATTGCCAGGCTGTATATAACGCTTTCATAGACATACAGACATTTCTCTATTTACTTGTACATTTCAATACATTGTGATTGAATTGGCTCTTATAACAAATACTTGTACATTTCAACACAATATGATTGTATATGCCTCTTCAAACATTTGCTTGTGTATTTCAACACATTATGATCGTATTGCCTCGTAAAACATGTACTTGTACATATTTACGGTTCTACATATAGTGATTGCATCTCTTCAGTTGGCTCCGTTCCGACACTGGAATGTCAATTCTGGATGGGCCATTTTGAGGTGGCACCAGACCGCTGACTATGGCTATGTCCCTAACGATAGGATGAAGAACACCTTCATGGCGGTGGCCATGGACCTGCCTGATTACAATTCACCACATGGAAAGTAAATGTCATCTCAAGTATACCTCCTTTTAAGATTTTTTGGGGTTGAGGGCGTTTGGGTAGCCTTGTGGTTAAAGCGTTCGCTCGTCACACCGAAGATCCGAGTTCGTTTCCCTACATGGGTGAAGTGTGTGAAGCCCATTTCTGGTGTCCCCACCGTGATACTGTTGGGATATTTCTAAAAGCGACGTAAATCATTCTCACTCATTCACTCTTTGGTTGAGTCCATAGAAAAGAAGAAAAGTGATAAACCTTTCAGCCACTTTTATGACATATAAGTATATGGGCTTAAGACCTTTCATTCGAAAAAAGAGATACAGTAACTTCACTTTTCCAAATACTTTATTTAAAAAGCAGTATACCGAAAAAAGCTACATATGCCTAAGTCCCAACAACAGCCCATGTCCCTGAGATCTTTGCAGACGAGTAATCTACTTCTCCAGTTTCGTCCAAAGTATTTCTCGAATGATTACTGCACTAAGGACGTCACATAATTAGGAGGTCCGAACTATTTAACATTCATCACAAACATGAGTTTGACCAAACATATCAGCTGGGAAGGGTTTTATTATGGGCCCGTTACAAAGATTTTTTGTGCAATGAATTTGCACTGAACCTTCCAAAGTCGTGGAGTACTCTGTTACATATCAGCATGACGTGCTAATGATGATGACACCTCAATCTGTGTACCATATAAAATGTCCAAAATATTGTGTAGTTCCGACTTTTAGTATGCTGTCCACAATACTCTAGGATGTCCTTCTGTAAAAATATTATTTAACCATTTTTAATAGAATACGTAACGGTTGGAATTGCATGGTTTTTTTCGCAGCATCCATCCCAGAGATAAGGCAGACATCGCACAGAGACTGTACATCGAGGCCATGATTGTCGCTTACAAGAGGACGGACATGCTAAACCAACGAGGACCATTCCCTACTGGGTTTACAGAAGTGGTGAATAAGAAGACTGTACAGATTTCATATGCTAACACAAGGACAACCATCGAGAAGAGAAATGATAATGGATTTGAGGTTCGTCAATGTCGCATTGTAAGAGTGATCTTACGTATTGCAGCGTTAAGCGTTAAGACCAGAATAAATTATGAATTCATTGCAAAATGCTCACAGTAAATAGGCAAGGTAAATATATTAACATATTCAGTATCGAATTAAATAAGAAGGATGGGTAGATGAATGAAAAGCGATTTATTAGCATGTATTTACACTAGTGAGTAGGTTTTACGATATTTTAGAAATATCTTAGCAACATTCGCAGTGTCCTTCACCCACTGTAACCATATTTAGAGCCAAAAAAGAAGTAATTTATCCAATAGGCAGCAACCCATTAAGATTAAACAAGGTGGAAATAAAGAAAAAAAATACCCTTCATCTTCATGTTTGTTAAAGCAAATTTATTAATACGTTGCTTAATTATCTTTTATCTCAGTTTTCATGACTTTCGGGATATTATCTTTTCAACATCTACAAAACATTTACTGGTCTTTGTCAATTTGGGAAAATACCTGCAAAATGTGTTTTAGCATTCCATATTTTATTTTGTGCAGGTGTGTTGTGTCCCGAGGAGGGACATCACAGATACCCGCAAGTTCTGTCCAATGACCTACCCTTCTAAACTGTGGAACGCTGTTCCCATCACGGCTTCAGACTCAACGTCTGTTACAATCAACTACCACAATGCTTGCACCTCAAGCAACCCCTACCTTGGCGGTATCCGTTATGAGTGGCGGGAATCCCCCTGTGATATGAAGAAGTGTGCTGTGTACAACAAACTGAGCGGAAGTCCTGCTCCACCATTCATACACTTTGTCACCTTGTAGATGGAATTACTTGTATATCACTGTGGATCTCACTTGTATTGATATGTAATGTGAATATGTTATTTAAAGACGAATAGAGATATAGATATTTGTTGTTGTTTGAGTGTTAGCACATTTAATGGGTGTCACTAAAACGATATCACTTACGTGTTGACTTAAAGGAGAATACGAGTGAATTGCAATAATTTGCTGGGTGAAAGATAAAGTCATCAGAAACATATTCCCAAATTTTCAATTACATATTATGTATAATTATGTTTTAATCGCGAAAACAGTTTCTGTAAATCTCAGCTTCGGCCATTATGCATATTTCGCTGGAACCCACATGACCTTTACGCTCGTGACGTCAAATGTGCCTGGAGTCCGCCATATTGCCAAAGACCAAGCGCTACAGTAGTACAAATCGTGTTGTTTCTGTCGTTTTTGTAAATGGTACGATGGTGTATTGCGTTGCCTGGGGATGCACGGCATCATCGAACATGGGAAAGAACCACCATTTCTTCCGTTTTCCAAGTGAAATGACAGATTTCGGCAGGAGAAATGCGCCGATCATTCCGAGTCGGACGCATATCAAAAAGACATGCCCGCATGGGGTATGTAAATCCCCAAGCTAGGCTGAAGAAGGAAAAAGTACCCACGAGATTCATTTATACTCCATCATTCCCTGTAACAACTTACTCTCAGTGGTATTTTTAACATAACTTAAATCAAGTCCGATTGCCAGTCGAATTGCCCCCGCTACAAAATGCCCCAGCAAATTTGGTCAAATTGTCCCAGTGGGGTAGTCAAAATGCCCAAATTTATTTAAAATGAATAAATATAGGCCATAAATGCATAGTTTTGTCAACTTTGATATTATGTTCTTCATATAAAAGTATATACATAGTTATGAGTTTACTAATGAAACATTTATCAGAAATATTACTTCCTAATAACTTTTATATGAAGAACATAATATCATAATAAGTTGACAAAAACTATGCATTTACGGCATATATTCAATCTTTCATATTTTTCCATTTTGTCCAATTACGCACGTCGGCATCAGACTCGCTATTTGTCAGTAGTGTGTGCCGTGAAAGTTGTTTTGTATTCTCATTGGCTGACATGATGTCATTCTAAGGCTATGACCAAGTACCATAACTATTTCCATAACCAAACAATGGGGAAACATACGTTGTCCTGACTAGTATTTTATAATTCACCAGTTTTCGGGGAATAACTTATCTGCGTCGCAAATATCATCTCTGCTCGACCAGGCTGGGATCTTGTATCAAGACTTGATACGTTATTAATGAGAACTTGGATCCTAATGTTTTTCAACAAAATAATTCCAGTGTAATTTTTGAAGCAGATCAGTTTTATTTTCCCTCGTCTGAAGCATAATTATTTTGTTTTTAAATCCCAGACACCCTACGGTCACCCATTTGACACAAAATGAACATTTTTTTAAAAATAATTCTTAGTGACTGGTCATATATTTATAGGGGTGGGTTTGCTAACTGGAACTGTATGACATTTTGCTGACAAATAGTAATCTTGTTAAATGATATGGTCTATTTTTATATTTATTTGGACCTCAAGCGGTGCCTACGTTTCGCTTGATTCTTCTTCTTCATCTTCAGTGGAAGATTGTTTTGCAAGATGTAAAATCGGATCGTATTGATACGGTCTAACATCCATTTCAGAAATGACACCAGGCACAGCTTTTACTGCTTCAGAATCCACGGACACTGTTAAGTTGTGAGTTAAAATCAAAGAGAAAGCCATCAGCAACAGGCACTTATGACGTCATGTCACGTGATACCCCCTCTGCTCATTAACTGTCGGGTGTTTCCGTAATAGGCGGAAATACGAGTACGTTTTTGTGTTTTTATTGCTATTTTACAAACTGTTTGTTCAATTTTAATAACGGAATGTGACTTTTAGAATATCCTTTACAATATATCGAAAGTTTTGTTTTCGTTCGTATTCTCCTTTAAAGAAAGAACGTTGGCCACAAGAACACAATGACATTGCTGAAGCTTTGGTTGCAACTGTTTGTTTGTTGTTTAACGCAGCGCTCAACAATGTTCCAGCTATACGACGGCTTGCAAATAATCGAGTCTGGGCCAGACAGTCCAGTGATCAATAGCATGAGCATCGGGGTACTATGACATTAGTCAAACAAGTCAGCGAGTCTGACCATCCAATCCAGTGAGGCCCCTTTTACGACAACCATGGGCTGCCGAAGACCAGTTCTAACCCTGACCTCCACGGTTAGTTGCACCTGTCAAAGGAGATGTATTGCTGCGAGAACATGTTGACAACTTCATCGGTTTCAACCTTTTCGTGAAATTACATCGTTTGTATTAAATCTGACTACTGAGTTTTGTGAATACGTACATGTATTGTCGTGCTTTACTTACCTGACAGACTTCAAGATGACAGTATTTTGTGGCCCCATTCAGTTGTTACTAGTAGTTTTTGAAAACGATACAGTTCACCAGATATGTCATGTAGAAAAACGAAGCATAACTTATTTCAGTAAGACATCCATGGACTATCAGGCTCATTAATCTCCACATTGGTGCAATGTGCGAACCCCATTTCTGGTTTCACTCACTACGGCGTAAGCCCCAACGTCATCCTGAAAATGTTGTCCCCTCTACAATGCAAATCAGTTACATTAAAAAATTAATATCACAAGTATGCCTTTTTAAAATTCTAGACCAAAGACCCTTAGTACAAATAAAATAACTGAAATTGGTGAGGGATACATGCACGTGTACGTTTTGGCAGCACATGGTGTATAAACACACATTCTGCAGTTATTTTCTATTGACATCACTGTGAGGTATTATATAGATGGACAGGACATATACTAAGATGGGATGTAATGTCTCCTTAGATCCTCCTTATGTGTACAGATGAGAGAGACGTGATATTCGCCAGGACTGTTTCTCTTAGCAGGAAATATTTGTTTAGGCAAATGGCAAGGTCATTCCTTCTATTCAAGGCTTATTAGAGTTTGACAGTGTGAAACAACAGCCGGGTGGTGATAAGCTATATCTTTAAGCACAGTTCGGTAACGATGACGAAGTCAGACATGTTCAACTTACTGTCGGTGATTTTGATTTCGTTTGTCATTTCTGAAGGTGAGTTGTATTCACTTACGAACATGTTTTTAGACATCAACGAATCATATACATTCTTTCCCTTGTCCGTGATACTTTGAACACGACAGTATGATCTTTGACTTTTTATAGACTTTGTTTTGGAACTTCACACAGCAATAGATTACATTTTGTTTTCTTGTTTGTTTGTTGAACGCCGCACTAAGCAATATTCCAGGTTTACGGCGGCGGTCTGTAAATAATCGAGTCTTGACCAGAAAATCCAGTGATTGAAATTATAAGCATCCATCTAAGGAATTGGGATACGATGACATGTGTCAACCAGGTCAGCAAGCCTGACCTGATCCCGTCAGGTGCTAGAAACAAATGTTCGAAGCGTCGATAAATACAACTCATTCTTACCAAATACATTGAACAAGTTCATAAGTTGAACCTATCATACTTTAATAATAATAATAATGTGTCCATTTATATAGCGCCAGACTCCACACTAGGTATGCTCATAGCGCTAGCAATCAAGGCACAGCACATTATTACTCCGAATAACCCAAGCTGCCTGTTAGGCGCTAGAAGGTTATAGTCAGTATAGAAGGTGGACTTTTTCCACCGGGTACCCATTTCCTGCTGGGTCAACAGAGACAATTTAAAAAAAACTCACTTGCTTAAGGTGAGACCACATGTGTCACATGTGCTTCGTTGTGGGGCAGGACTCAAGTCCTAGAAACTCTCAAGCTGCCAAACATGGTCACCCATCCAAGGACCCTCCAAGCTCAACGCTGCTTAACTTCACCGATTTGTGACCTGAGCTTGAGCACAGGACCACGCGCCACCACATACTCCATTGGTTGAATAATTGTAAACTTGTATGTTTGTGCTATCCTATATATCTGTATGTGATTCTGTTTCCGTTAGAGGGTGTTTGATGTTATTAAAATTTACGTTTCTATTTTCGTCTTAGTGGAGGGGGCCTCCTCATTTAAATTCGCCAGTTCCTATGGTGACCACATGGTGCTTCAAAAAGCTCCATTCAAGTCCACAATATGGGGGTTTGCATCAGCGGCGGGGGAGACTGTCACGGTCCACATGACTGGAAAGAGGTCCTTGACAACAGCCACAAGGCCAGGAAATCATCCCGGTGTTTTTGTGTGGACTGTCCAGATTCCGCCTATGGACGCCGGTGGGCCATACACCATCACGTTTACGTCTAGCGAAGGAAACCTAACTCTGTCCGATGTCCTGTTTGGTGACGTGTGGGTGTGTTCTGGCCAGAGCAATATGCAGTTCACAATGAATATGGTATGTTCTCTTAGTCTATCTTAACTACCTTCACTATCCTCACTATCCTCACCTCTTCTCCAGCAGCAACGTCTAACAAGTACACATAACTCATTTAAGGTGCTCACAGAAAAAACTTGTATAAATGCGAACTGTATGGTTACATACAATCCGTTTGATTTCATTTGAGACCGATAAATTGCTCACTATAGGCCGTTTGCTCCAAACTCGTACCAATGAATTGGTAATTACAAGGAGTTACAAGTACAATTCGTCAACAATTTTCACATCTTTCTTTTTTGTTTTCCTGTACCAACTCATGACCTAAATATGGCGCATTGATATACAGTAATAAAAAAGTTGTTTAACAAATTATCATAAGACTGCTGTTGTTTTAAGACATT